TGCTGTTATTTAATGGCTCCCACATTCAGACAAGATAGCTTAGGATTTGATATCTTAATCAGAAAATTCAAGCTTTTTCCAGAGTTTATTAAACAAATTGGAAATCCTGTAGAAGTTTTGATTTTAATGCTGAAGGGATTGTTTTGCATTTTCCAATTTGCGTCTTTGGCCGTACTGTTTTTCTGATTCTGTGTGCATTTAACTTAGAGATTATTTCCAAATTCCAATGGACAGGCTTCTTCAGACTTATACACACTTAAAGCCCTGTGCATGAAGCAATAAAAAGGGAAAACAAACTATCATTTAAATTTACTTCATGGAAAAAGTGTAACAGGCTGAAAGAGCTCCTAAACCACATGGAAAACACAATGGTTTCTATTTTCATGTATTTTTTTCCTGTAACGGTTTTTACTACAAAATAATAATATTAATGATTTAAAAATGTCCATTCTTAAGTGCTGCGTGTTGCAAAATATAGTATTAAAATTAAAGCTTCTTTCCGGAGTATTTCTCTTATGCAATGGCACCATCTAGTGGCTGACAAGCATATCACACAAAAAATCTGTTGCTTTGTTTGTTTAAGATTGCAACTTCACTTTTCCGTTTATTTATGTGATTCTGTAGCCGACAAACAGCTAAAGCACGTTGCTTTGCGAGTATTATTCTCTTGTCATGTTGTGTTCTCATATATTTATATTTTAGAGACTTTCTTGTCCGTGAAAAGTTCATCAACTCTGCATCAGCTGAGATGCTCCTTAAATTTGAAGCGCATAAGCGGTAGTCTAACGCTATTGGTTAGTTCTGGTCTGCGCTCAGTTTCCTGTTGCACAGAGCTCTGCGGAGCAGGGGGCGTGCTTAGCAAAAAAAAAGAAAAAGAAGAGCGACGTATTGTTTACATTTTATCACAGTACATGATAAGATAATCACTTTTACGGATTTCTGAAAAACCATACATCATCTCTGAAAGGGGAATACGTTGGAAAGCAGCTTGTTGCAAGTTTAATAACAAAAATTGTTGCTAAAAATTCACTTTCTAAATTGCTTGTAAAGTACTTTGAATCCTATTTTTCAGAATGAGATTCAGCATGGATTTCCCGTTATGCTTCACGCTCATTTTTAGATCATCTAATTTTGAAAAAGACATGAAGTTATGACTGAATCATAAACACATGAGATCTAGGCATGCGGGGAACATGAATTGTGAAACTTGTATGAATTTAAGTGTATTGTAATATTAACAGAAGACCTATTTAGTCATCATAGAAGTGAATCTAGACATCATGAATTAGTTCTGGTCGTTTACAGATGCTGGTGTTTTGTCGTCTGTTGGTAATGTTGTGGAAACACACAGGAACAAAGCTAGACAAAAAATTGTTTTTATACAAGCCACATCAGTGTTTTCCTTTGACAGTCAATTTTATGATGGTTAATGTTAAAATTTTAACATAAACAATCAATATATCAACAATAAACATTTCCACAGAGGCAGAACCTCTGTGGAAATGTTATTATTAAATACCTACTGACGTCAACATATCTCATTTAGGGTTATATAAATAGTAATTTACACTTGTAACAACAATTGAACAAGAAAACTCAGCGATGTCCCTTTTAAATGTTTGAGGCTCTGTTCTGCTGCCCTCGTGTGGCCAAAAGCTGTAATAGCAGCTTCAAAGAGCACATAAACTGAAGTTTTACATTTATGCAAGAGCTTTGATGCTATATTTAATTATTTTACATATTAAATCACTTTAATACTTTGTTCTATTTCTGTGCACTGAAAGGGCAAAGTCTCCTCTGATTGGTCAGCTGTTAGCAAAGTCCAAATTATTAAAATTAATGATGTTGCTAGATTTAATAACCTTTGAAATGATTCAATGCATTTTGGTGTAATCAGATGAGCACATGAAATATTAAACTTTGCACGTGGGTTAGGCTATGCTATGAGGAAATTATCACACACTCATGAAAAGTAATTATCACAACCACAAGGGGCCAGAAGTCTCAAATTTCTACTTTTTAAATGCTATAAAAAGAACGTGACCATTCATAAATGTACTATTTTGTGTTACGATGAATATACGAAACCAAATACAACTACAGAGTCAATGTCTTTGTGTTATTGTTGAACTGAGAGCACCTTCAGATGTAAGCTTAGAGCCCCCTCTAATGGTTTTACTCTGTCATTGTCTTTAGTTAGAGATCTCATCAACAGAGTAGGCATCAAATACACACTAAAATAAAACATGTTTTGTGTGTTTCGTCTACTTTCAGGATATAAATGTGTGCATTTTAGAGAATTACCCAGAGTGCTCCAACCCTCGAGTTTTCTACATCATTCCCTACTTCTGTGGACAGCATCCTCAGTGCAGGTAGGTCAGGTTGTTCTAAAGTGTTTTCTTCTGTGGAGAGGGTTCATGTTTCTGATTTGTTTTCTCATAGAGAGCCTGGTGTTTGGGCTTTGGAACGGGCCAAACAGAATGTTCTGGATAACTACCTCCTCGTTGGTGTCTTGGAGGAGCTGGAAGATGTTCTGCTCATGCTGGAGAGGCTCCTACCTCATTACTTCTCTGGAGTACTCGACATCTATAAGAGCCCCGGTGTGTGAACAGCGCTTGATAGATGGGACATGAGATTTTTTTTAAAAGAAAACAAAAATAATATCAATAATTGTTCCTCATTTTCAATGATTAAATGAAAATATTTGACTTTTGATTAGGACACATGATAAAAAGTAGACCAGCCTGACAGATCTACGTCACACTGCCGCTTAACATTCATGGACTCATCCATCTTGACTCGCGACATGGAAAGCCATTGTTGGTTTAGCGTCCTGGAATCGGCAGAGAACGTTTCGGCTATCAGAAGCTAACCATTAGCATTAGCAACTCCACCACACAGCAAAACTCAAGGCGTTTTTTTTTTTTTTGTGTGTGTGTGTTGGCCGAAGCCGGGAGCGGTCGACGCTCCTGGCTGGAGGGGCCTTCACTTTGGAGTCGCTCAACTGTGTTTTTCTTGCTAAACGCACCCGGAAAAACTACATTAGCTTTGGTTAGCATGTAGCTAATGTCCCGCTGATCTCCAACATGTGGCGGAGCATGAGCTGACGTAAGCAGCCAGAGCGTCCAGCTCTGATCGCAGTGGCCTGAAGCTCTGCTTGTATTTTAACAATCCAAATTAGAGCTCCACAGGTGACCAACATGACTACAGCCGCCAGGCAGCCACGCGGGTCGGCTGCCCCGGAGCTCCTTCTTAGTCTTTTGAGTTAGCTCAATTAGCTAGTAGCTATATTGGTTCATTTGCTCCCACTGTCACAGTCCCAGCCTCACCCCCACCTCTTTTCCCTATTTTGGATTGTCTGGGCAGGACGAGACATGTGATAGGACTAACGTGGCGGGTATGGGAACCACCTATTTGCTTCATTTAGTCAAATAAGAGGAATGGGCAGTGCTACATCAGAATTATATTATATTACGTCTGTGGTTATTTATGGAGATAAAACATCAATGTTGCAAAGCAAATGGAGTCGGTGGTAGAGTTGTGTTAATGTTAGCCAATCCGAGGCAAGGTGTCCAAATATCAGGAAGACTCCAAAATTTGGCCATCTGAAGCTACATTTTTCTCCAGCTGAATTCTCTGTGCTGAACTAGGCGCTTCTGGGCTATTTTTTCCCCTGAGTATGACTTACAAGGCATTTATTCCTATAGAGATCACTGCAAGTGTATTGGTTAAATTCACACTCTAAGCCTCCATATTTGACTAACCTCTTCATTTCTGCTGTTTTTACTTAAGAATACAAGAAAGTGGGGAACTTGACGGGCACGGTCCGTAAACACACGCCATCTTTGGAGGCTCTTCAGGTGCTCTACCATCGAATGCGCTACGAGTACGAGTTCTACAACTTCATCCGGGACCAGTTCCACCTCATGAAGAAAAAGATTGGACTCAAGTCCATCCCCCAGGTTCCCGCCTACTCTCCTGCCTTCCTGCATGAACTTTCCCTCCGAACCCCGAAACCTCTGGAAGAAGACGAGGAGCTGGACTCGGATGTAGAGGACGCCAACAGCTGGCTGGTCCATCCTTGAGGACCTTTCAGACGATGGAGCCAAAAATGAAACAGATTTTTGGCAAAAATTGTCCAAAGAAAACTCGATGCAGTCAGCTTTGCCATTCACGGCATTTAGAGGAACTGGAAGGACTCTCGACTTACTGACAAAAGACAGAGGGAAATCACTTCAAGCTCAAGTTTTTATTTAAGTTTGTCCTGAAGCTTTTCAAGATAACTATAGCTGCTGAATTCTCCGGGAGAGATCAGAGCAAAAGAGGGACTTCTTAACGTGTTTGGAAAGGTGCTAAAATTCGAGACATTCCCTTTATCAAAGCGCTGATGTCCCAAAAACTGGATGGAGCATGGATTTTTCTAACAGTGCCATGAGTGTTGTTTGTATATTAGCTGACTTTTGCCAAGTGCCAAACCTCTTTTTTTATTTCTGGTGACTGTGAGACAAGTCCAAGTAGTGTTCAGTGCGCACCTGGTTGGAGTTGTGCTACATTAAGTCAGTTGTTGTATTACTGATTTATGACAAAGTATTAGGTGTAAATGAGGGTTCAAGCATATGCACTCAATTATGAATTCAAAGAATTCCAACTCGATGTGCATGTATGTCTGAGTATGATCGAACCATCAGAGTATTTTAGCTCATTTTATGATTTGGGGAAAAAGTCATTTATGAATCAAGAATGCTAAAAGCATTTATGGAGCCTCAGTTTAATCCAAAGTGAAAATACTAAACTTGCCAAATAGCGTACGTTTTTTAGATGTTTTTCTCTGAGTGTTTGCAACAAAATGAGCACTTGGGTGACAACTGGATTTAAAAAAAAAAGCCTTTAATGTCTGAGTTTATTATGCACTGTTACAACATTTTTGATGAGTATTATTCATGAACGCATTTTTTAAATGCTAACATTTGCTCACATCATTCTCCAGAAGCTACCCAAAGTGCAATTTCCTCATGAGTCACGTAAAAGTCACGTAGCGTCGTAACCATAAGCTAAAGTGTGATTACTCCTAATCTCCACTGCCTTTACTTTCGTCATTGTAAAATCTGTCTTCAGTGATTTATGTCAGTTTAATTTATTGTTTTGTACTCAAATTGATTTCGAGATGAAATTCTCAGGAAGAAAAATGACATTTGCCAACTTTATCATTGTTTTGAGGGGTCTGGTGGCTGTTCAAAAGGGTTTTATGTTAACAACTGGTTTAAAAACAGATGCATTCCATCATTCAATGTCCTCAAAATAAATGTCTTCTAACTATTGCAGCCAGTGTGTCCTTTCCTCCTCTTCATCATTCCAACACACATTATTTTAGTTTCCCAACTCAGCAGAAAATCATTTACCTCAAACAAAACTATTATTTTAGGAAGATTTTGGTCACTGGTTCCAAATTTGCACCTATTCTGGTATTTTACTAACTTCATAATGTTGGTTCGAAAGAGCCATACTATGGCAAATCCATTTTTTGGAGTGTTTTTGTCATATTTAATCATGAAAAATACCCCCAACCCCATTTTTGGCTGCATTCATGCATTTTCCTGTCTCAGCTGCAAACTTTGAAATTTGTATGCAAGGGCCTGCAAAAGCATAGATGGAAATGAAATGTGTCATCAGCAGTGTTGTGCAGTAACGCATTACTAATAACGCGTTACTGTAACTTCGTTTGTCAGTACTAATACTCATATGCATTACTTTTTAAATACAGTAACTCCGTTATCGTCACACTATGGTGCGTTTGTCCGTTACTAGCTAACTTCATAGAGTTTGGCAAAAAAGGCAGCTGCATGCTACTTCCTGTTTACAGCGGTGATGCCTTGCGGGAGTGTTTGATTTGGAGCCCTCACAGTCATGGCAGATCAAAGCAGGAGCAAACCAAGTCTCTCCTCATGGAACTATGCTCACTATTTCACATTAATCGAGCACAAAGAGAAGAATATTCTTGTCAAGTGCAACCTTTGTCTTTCTGGATCAAAATTCCTTTCTACGGCAGCAAACAGAAACTCCAATTTGTCGAAGCACCTCCAGAAACAACATGCTTCCGCAAAGCTAGTTGAGAAGCCGGATGCTAACCCCACTCGCGAAGCTAGCCATGTCCCGCCAACCAAACAACAATGGTTAGATTTTAACAGGACTAGGGCTGCAACAAACGATTATTTGGATAATCGATGAATCGGATGGGGTCTCGACACGATTAATCGATTAATCGGATTACATGGGGAAATTTTTAAAAACTGCTAGGGAAATGTTATTTCTCTCCTTCCTTCACTTTATTTAACACAACATTATTAGAAAACAGTTCAATAGCAGAAAAACAACATGCCATCACCTAAATTGTCTTATAAGGTGTATAGACAGAGACCCTAAGCTACATCTATCTGTGACCTAAAATGCTTGGTCCAAGTTAAACAGCTTAAGGGCAATTCTCATCTGTTTTGCTTGATCTCATCTGTTGACATTTATTTTAAATGTAATTAAACATAGGCTGTGAATTAATCAAAATTGATCACTATTTCCAAAAATGACTGAAAAAATACCAAATAAAACAAAAGTAAATGAATGCCATCCTCCTTGCGATGATGCCCTGGGCAACTGCCATAAAGTCACATCAAGAAATGCTGCTGATCATTCCAATGATCCCAAATAGACTCACATTAGGCCACATGAAAGCAACTGAACCCAAAAATATATTAACCAGTATATAACTGCACTCTCACACAACACGCCTGCAGCAACAGTTAGGACTCCTCCCTCCCTTTTAAAAGCGTTTTTGCTTCTGAGGACATTGTGGTTGTAAAACCACATACTAGTAGTCTGGCCCCGGTGTGATCAACCAGTTTCTGCGGGAATGTGACGGCGGAACCAGGTTCAGATTAACACTTTGTTGTACCCTGGGCAACAATATTCAAGGGCTCCATCATCACGACCCAAGGATCACCATAATGTGGTCACATACAGAATATTTTACTGTAATATGCAGTAAATATACTCAATACTTGAATGCCTGACAACACGTAAGCCACCCAGAGTAACCTTTGACCCACCTCGTGTGGACTGACCAATGAGGAGAGGGTCTTAACTTGAGGCCCTCTCTTCATTGGTCAGTCTGCATGAGACTGACTCTCAACTGACGTTCAGTTGTAGGCAGCGAAGCGTCTCTGTGCAGCGCAAAAGCCCGGGTGGACAGTTTGTTTAATGTAGGGTGACCATATTTCCATTTCCAAACAAGAGGACAGGGGATCTGTGCCTATGACGTCACACTATGGCAACGCCACAAAAACCATGTTGGGACCCATTTTTTGTAAGAACTAAATTAATATCAGATTCTGCCAATTAAAGGGCTCTAAAACAATTCATATGTAAATATTTTGCATATTTAATGCAAAATCTAATTTTTCTGCTTTAGTGCTGCAACAAGTTTTTATTAATAATAAATTATTATACCTTTTGTTTTACTACAGCATCAGTAAGCTTCCTGTGCACAGATTATTAAGGATACTTGTTTCAGCTGTGAGATTAGACAATAGGATCAATGAAAAAAATAAGTTGTCACACACTCCATGGAAACTTTCAGAGAATCCACAAATAGTGGCTTTCAAATGGTTTTGTTACTTTTTGCAAGTTTATAAAAGAAGCAGATGAGACAGCATGTCTGATAATTTAGTTTTTCATCTGATAATATTAGAACATGTCAGTAATGTCTGAGGGGCTTTTATAAACACCATATAACTAACACTACTGGAGAGGGCATGAATTACACAGAGGCTTCTGGGGAGCCCAGTTATTGGGGGGGGGGGGGGGGGGGGGGGGCATTTTGCCTTGTCCCCCAAAATGTCTTGAAACGGCCCTGGGTGTGTGACTGAGTTTTGAAGGTGATCTGAATTGTATCAGCTGTATAAATATGACATGTGTATAACTTATTGTTTTTAACTGGTAAAAACGTGTATGGAGATAAATCTACCTACATTTTACTTTTCAACACTTTGTTTTGTTTTCTTGTTTTTATTTAACTATTTTCCTGTCCTGTCTGTCTCTCATCTTCCTGCATCTCCTCTTAATTCTCCAGAAAATCTGTTGCCTGGATTCTTACCTTTTCACCTCATCAGTTACTTTTGAGCAGATCAAAGGAATCTCCTGACCGAAAAGCTCAGAGCGCGTTTTCGATGCTGCGTGAGGTGACATCACCACAGCACAGGTGATGAGCTCCGCAGTAGCGCGCTTCAGGCACAAATAAGACAGAAAATAGAGAACATGTGCGGACATGAACGATCGTGTGCTAATTATAGTTTTTTGGTTGCGCCACTTTGAGAATGGACCATGCGCTGGAAGCAGCTGCCTGGATCGCTGCGCAACAATGCGGAACCGGTTCGCAGCAGCGCAAGTCTGCCGGCTCTCCCTCGAGCTGATCTGCCGGTACCGGCTCTCCCTCGCGCTGATCTGCCGGTACCGGCTCTCCCTCCCGCTGATCTGCCGGCTGTCCCTCGCGCTGATCTGCCGGCTCTCCCTCGCCGCTGATCTGCCGGCTCTCCCTCGCGCTGATCTGACTTGCTCTGGTCTGCGCGCAATGGCGGGCGGGCGGGAGGGGGGGGGGGGGGGGGGGCGCTTTTGGAAGAGTTGTGCAACACAACGAATCGATGACGCAATTCGTTGCCAACGCTTTTAGTAATCGATTTTCATCGAATTTATCGATTCGTTGTTGCAGCCCTAAACAGGACTGTTAGTGTTAGCCAAGGAGAGATAAACAAGGCCGTCTTACGGTTTATTGTTGAGAACATGCAGCCTGTTTCAACTGTGGAATTGCCCACTTTTCGGTAACTGATAAGTATGATATCACGTCCAAGCGGCACACTGCAAATGGGAAGAAAGACTTTTTCTGACTACCTGGATAAGGAGTATTTGAAAATGGAAACTGAGCTTAAAACGGCACTGGAGGAGATTGATCACATTTCGACTACAGCAGATATTTGGACTGCACACCAAGAGCTACCTCGGGATAACTGCTCAATGGATTAACCCCCAAATTCCACTACCTCCGCTCCGCTCTGGCACGAACTCCGCAGCAAAATCGGTCCCGTTGTAGTCAATCAGAACAATTCCACTACTGCGGCCACGCTGCAGCAGTGCGGCGCGGTGCGCCGCCCTCCGTTCCGGCGTCCGGCAAAAATAGAATCGATCCTATTTTCGCCGGACGCCGGAGCACCTCCGCAGTCAATGGACAGAAATCACAACCGCCCAACAGGAAAGGGAGCAAGCACAGCTTCCGTTATTTCACAATAAATCGATAAACAAAAAGCGTTTTTTGTTTCATATGCACAGGTTTAACAACTTTTAACAACTATCAATGGCGGCTGAACTTTAAATGCACAAAAATAAGCCATAAATACAGTTTCCACTATCAAAGTAGTCACACTTTGTTGATCCAAACACTGCTGATCTCTCAACACAAATGATGGGCAGATTAAACTGTTCATTTCGATGCTTCTCCCACACAACGGGTGTTTGGAAATAACTTCTGCGTTTATTGCTCGGACTGTATCGCAAGATCTCGAAAATCCCGCGCATGCTTGTTTGCGCACCTCAGGTCTCTGCACCGGAGCGGAGCTGTTGTAGAATGGGTACCAGTAAAAATTGAGTTCGGAAGCGAGCGGCTGCGGAAGGCGGGGGCGGAGCGGAGCGGAGGTAGTGGAATTTGGGGGTAACACCACTACCTTTAAACGCCAGAAAGCTGCCCTGGCCTGAAAAAGGATCAAAGGTAGGCACACGTATGGTATAATTGCTGCAGAGATTGACCTTATTCATTCATTGTTTGGATTGTCGTCGAAAGTTACAGCTACAGTTACTGACAACGGCTCCAACTTTGTGAAAGCCTTCCAAATGTTCCAACCAGAGTCGCTCTCTGGCGATGATGATGATGATGATGAAGAAGATGGTGAAGACGTCATCTTCACTGATGTTTCAGATGTGCTCAGCACCGCTGCAGATGAGGGAATTGTTTTACCTCCCCACCTGAGGTGTGCCTCTCACACTCTCAGCTTGATTTCATGTTCTGATGTGGACAAGTGGCTGCTTTCGAATCCTACTACTAAAAATATATATAGAAGTGCGACAGCCAAGTGCACAGCTCTGTGGAGTAAAGCTAGCAGATCGACCTTGGTCTCAGAAATAGTGGGAGATACTGTTGGCAAAAAGCTGCTCGTGCCATGCTCTACAAGATGGAACTCTTTCTACGACGCTGTGGCAAGGATTGTTGAAATGCCTACAAGTGACT